TTACTTTTGACAAATTAAGGCATTTTATTTAATATTCTTAAATAGTAAAAATTAAATAAGAGATCAAGGATTGTTTAATCTACTGAACAATATATCTGAATTACAAAAACTTGAGATTTTAGATATATCACTAGAGTAATATTAACAATAATATCATTTTGGGATATTTTAACAATAAAAATTAATTAAATATTTAATATAAATAGATTCAATAGGATTTCATTTTAGAAAGATTATGACCTTGAAGCTCTCTTTTAGAAATTTTAGAATTTAAGAAAATTATCTCTTTCATTCCGGTAATATTTTATTTTAATATAGATTTTATCTTTAATTATTATAAAAGCTTTTCTAAGATAATTAACAATATTTTTTTGCTTTTTAAATATTGATTTTGATCAGACCAGTTTTTAAAAATTGGCTATGTCTCTTAAATAGATAAAAAATTTGTTAGCTTTAGAACTAAACATAGGGTAATAATTAATCTTATTATATTCAGTTTATATATTTATCATTTCTTTTTATTTTAAAGAGCTAATTCAGAGGGCACCTTCAGTGAATTGGGATAATAATATTTACTTGTTAAGTCAAATTTTATTTACTTAGGACTAAATTTAAGGTAAATAAAAATTATTTGTAAAATAATAAAAAATTGCAAATTAAATTTCAATTGACTTGTCACCTTAGATAGATATTGTATTACTTAAAAAAATATCACCTTCTAAATTACTAAATTTTATCATAAATTTATAAGATTTTATAGAAAAATTACAAAAAAAAGTATTTGATTTTTTTTAATTTTTGAAATGTTTTTATTGTATTGGATTAAATCCAATTAATTAAATTTTCTAATAATCTATATTTAAGTAAGAAAATTTTGTTAAATTTGAAACATTTTTTTCTTAATTTTTAAATATTAGAAATTATTTATTTTAAAAGATATATTAAACATTTTTAGAATGAAAATATTAAATCCTTTTCTATTTAAATATTTTCTTTAAAGTTTTTCTAAATAATATTTTAATTTTTTATATAAAAGAGGTCTATATTTTACAAATGAAAACATAAAACAACTGGCTTTATGTTTAAAGTAATGTAAACTAAGAAAACTACAACTTAAATTTGGATGGTATATGCAAAAATATAATTTAAGATTTAATTTTAATTAAATATTATGAGGGATTAAAATCTTTAATTCTTTATTAATTTTCAAGAAAATTATTAAACTAGCATAAATTTTAAGCTTTTAAATATATTATTTTATTTATCATAAAGGATAGAAGATATTAATAAATTAATTCAATCATTAAGAAAAAATATAAGTTTAGTTTAATATAATCTTATCTATTGAATAAATTAAGTGATCACTTATTATTGTCACTTTTTTAAATACTTATTTACTCATTAATTTATCTAAAAAATGTGTATCTGCTTTAACTTTTATTTAATTTAAATTACTCTTAAACAATTT